TGTAGGAAAAGCTAAAGAAGGAACTGATAGCTTTTCAACTTTCCGTAGAGATATAGATATAGTCAAAATGTTAGGGCAGTTTTCTATTATTAAAAGCTACACTAACACTTTTGAGATACCCTACAGACCTCTTCTATGTAGCAGAAATGGAAATTAATTCACAAAAGACCATGATCTTTTATAGAAAGGATCATGAAATTTACCTTTCAATTCCCGTGTAAACATCGATTGTCAATTGAATCAAAATAGAATCCCAGGAGCTATGGTGGACATGCCAAATAGAGACAGACAGAGAAACAAGGAAAGAAAAAGAGAGCCCTTGGGGCAGCTAGGTGGCACAGTAGATAGAGCACCAGCCCTGAAGTCAGGAGGACCTGAGTTCAAAGCCAGCCTCAAACCAAACATTTGACACTTACTGGCTGTGTGACCCTGGGCAAGTCACTTAACCCCAATTGCCTAAAAAAAAAAAAGGAAAATAAAAAAAAAAGAAAAAGACAGCCCCTTTGCCATAAGGGAGCTTCCAATCTAAGTATACACAGAAATACCTGAAGTATATTTATGCATCAACAAGCATGAGGCATGATGTAGTAGGGAAAGAGTTGGTTTGGTCTTCAAATTAAGGGGGGAAAAAAACAGATTCAGATTCTATGGTGTATTTGAATCAGCTCCAACCAGCTCTCAGGAGCCAACTGTTAAATATGTGTGTATATACACATATACACATGCATGTGTATATATACAACACGTGTATATATACATGCACACGTCTATGTACATATATGTATATGCATGTGTGTATGTATATGTATGTATATATAATCACAGGATCCTTAAAACAATGCTATGAGATGGGAAAGGCTGATATTTCTTGGTGATTTGTCCAAAGTCATTCAGTAAGTGGTAGAGTTGGAATTAAAATGTATTGGGGGGAGGATGGTATAAATGTTTAACAACCAGGTCTCCAAGAGGAAACCTATATGCAAGACACACTTTTAAATTTTATATGCATTATTAATATTTTATCTGTCATTTTAAGTCTAGACAATCAATAAAATAAATAAATAAAGCCTTGATTTGTAACATTTGCTGATTTTTGAGGTGTAAATGCACACACTGAAAATTTAACAATTGGCTCTTGAGAGCTAGGTTGAGCTGACTCAGACACTATGAATCTGTTTTTTGGTGGGTTTTTTTTTAAGACTAGCCAACTTTTTACCTACTACATCATATTACCTCACGCTTTTGATGCATAAGCATACTTCAGTATCTGGTGCTCTTATCACATAATACTATATAATTATTGTGTTTATAACACATCTTCTTCTAAGGCTGTAAGATCCTTGAGAACAGAGACTATATTTTATCTAAACTTAACCCCCCACCCACTCACTCCCACTTAGCACAGTTCTCTGTGCATAGTAGATGCTTAATTGGTTTAATTGAATTTGTTAAATTATTTTATTTTTGTCCAGAGCTATGATTTCACGGTGTGGCAGTTCCTACCATCCTTGCCAATTGACAACTTATTCCAGGATACTGAAAGTTTAAATGACCTGTCCATTGCCATTTAGCTAGTGTTAGCCACCACATTGTACTGCTTCTTGAATTATTCCTTTCAATATAGTTCTGTTATGTAATAGTCAATAGATATTTATTAAGCACCTACTATGTGCCAGGCATTGTGGTAAGCACTAGAGATAAATGCAAAAGACAGTCCCTGCCTGTAAGGAGCTTACATTTTATAGATGAAAGACAAGACATAAGAGAACACTGAAAGGAGGGGAGGAGAGGGCAGTGACCACAGAGGGCATGATGAAGTCCAGAGGAGCATAGCCTGGTGAAAAATGAAGAGACTTTTGTTTTAATTTATTAATTGGAGAGTGGTTCTTATTTTTATAAATTTGGCTCAGTTTCCTATATATTTGAGTAATGAAGCCTTTATCAGAGAAACTTCCTGTAAAATTTTATTATCCCAGTTTCATGCTTTCCTTCTAATTTTGGCTGCATTGGTTTTATTTGTAAAAAAAAAAACCTTTTTAATTTCATGTAATCAAAATAATCCATTTTTCTTCCTGTGATCCTCTTTATCTCTTGTTTGGTCATAAACTCTTCCTGTATCTGTGGATCTGACAGGTACATTTTTCCATGCTCCCCTAATTTACTTGTGATATCACCCTTTATGTATAAATCATATACCCATTTTGACCCTGGTATGTAGTATGAGATATTGGTCTGTGTATAGTTTCTGCCAAACTGCTTTCCAGTTTTTCCCAGTAATTTCTGTCAAATAGTGAGTTCTTGCCCTCAACACTTGGGTTTATCAAACACTAGATTACTATAATCATTTACCACTGTGTATTTTGTATCTAATCTATTCCACTGATTAACCCTCCTATTTCTTAGCCAGTTCCAGATGGTTTTCATGATTACCACTTTGTAATGTAGTTTGAATTCTGGTACTGCTAGGCCACCTTCCTTCACACTTTTTTATTTATTCCCTTAATAACCTTGATCTTTTGTTCTTCCAGATTAATTTTGTGATTATTTTTTCTAGCTATGTCAAGTAATGCTTTGTTAGTTTGATTGGTATGGCACTGAATAAGTAAATTAATTTAGGCAGAATCATCACTTTTATTATATTGGCTCAGCCTACCCATGGATGATTAATATTTTTCCAATTGTTTAGATCTGTTTTTATCTGTGTGAAAAGTGTTTTGATTTTATGTTCATATAGTCCCTGGGTTTGTCTTGGCAGGTAGACTTCCAAGTATTTTATATCATTTGCAGTTATTTTAAATGGAATTTCTCTTTCTATCTCTTCCTGCTGAGTTTTGTTGGCAATATATAGAAATGTTGACGATTTATGTGAGTTTATTTTATATCCTGCAATTGTGCTGAAGTTGTTAATTGTTTCAACTAGTTTTTTTAGTTGATTCCCTAGGGTTCTCTAAGTATTCCATGATATCATCTGCAAAGAATAATAGTTTTGTTTTCTCATTGCCTATTCTAATTCTTCCAATTTCTTTTTTTTCTTATTGCCATAGCTAGCATTTCTAATACGATATTGAATTATAGTGGTGGTAACAGATATCCTTGATTTACTCCTGATCTTATTGGAAAAGCTTCTAGATTATCCCTATTACACATAAAACTTGCTCTTCATTTTAGATGGATACTATTTATCATTTTAAGAAAGGCACCATTTATTCCTATGCTTTCTAGTGTTTTTAGTAGGGGATGTTGTATTTTGTCAAAAGCTTTTTCTACATCTATTAAGACAGTCATTTGATTTTTTATATTTTTGTTATTGATATGGCCAATTATGCTGATAGTTTTCCTAATAGAACCAGTCTTGTATTCCTGGTATAAATCCCACCTGCTCAGGTATGATCTTTGTGATATATTGTTGTAATCTCTTTGCTAGGATTTTATTTAAAATGTTTGCATCAATATTCATTAGGAAAGTTGGCCTATGGTTTTCTTTCTCTGTGTTTGTTCTTCCTGATTTAGGTATGAAAACTATATTTGGGTCATAAAAGGAATTTGGTAGAACTTTTTCTTTATCTATTTCTTCAAAAAATGTATATAGAATTAGAATCAATTGTTCCTTCAATGTTTAGTAGAATTCACTTCTACATCCATCTGGTCCTGGAGATTTTTTTCATATGGAGCTCGTTTATGACTTGTTCAATTTCTTTTTCTAACAGAGGATTATTTAAGCAATCTATTTCTTCTTCTGTTAACCTGGGCTATTTATATTCTTGTAACTATCCATATATTTCACTTAGATTGTCAGTTTTACTGGCATATTTTGGGCAAAATAGCTCCTAATAATTGCTATACTTAATTTCCTCTTCATTGCTTTAATTTCATCTTCATTCAAGGCATTGACCCTTATCATTTTTTGATACTGGCAATTTAGTTTTTCTCCTTAAATGGAGGTTCTACAAGCATCTCATCATCTTCCATTCAGAGGGAGGGGTCCTAAGAGCAGAGGGTCATGATGAAGTAATCTTGCCGGATGAAAAAATTCCTGGGACATAATGAAGTCTAGAGAAACAGAGGCCAGTGTTGGCAGAATGGGAGAGGGCAGGGGGAGAATGGAAAATAAGGGAAAACAAGAGAAGGGGTAAACAATGGCTTGGATATTGGTAAAATGTCCCCCAAGCTTCTGAGGGGCACATGGCATGGAGAAACCACAAAACCTATCATTAGTCGTGGTAGCATCAAACACAAGGGAAATCCAGAGTTGGAAATGATATATGATCTTGATTTAATATGTTTCCAGCTACATATTTGTACTTTCCAAAATGTAATTCTAGTTTAGGGAAAACAATACAACGTAGCTTATGTCCACACACTTGAGCCATAAAAGAAAGCTGACCAAGCCCTAAAGAAATCAGTCAGCAGGCCTCAAAGAACCGCCTTTAATTCTCTTTCTTCTTTCTATTTCATTTTTTTTTAAGATTTTCAGTAGAAGCTATATTTGCTGTTACTATGGTCAGTTAACTCAGTTGGTTTGAGTGCCTAGTTAATGAGGCCCAGGTTTTCAATTTATGTCTGTGGTGTTTAGTTACAACTTCCACTACTGTCACTGCCTGCCATGTCCTAAAATAACAAGAGGGACTAGGGCAAGAAAGTACAATTAGAGGAGTCACCATAACTGAGAAAACAAGTGAAAACTAAGCCTTAGTGATACAAGCCAAATCAACTTTCTAAGTGAAAGACAACATTAATGTTGCCTGTGTTCTAGCTTTTTTTTTTTAACATATTTTCCACTTTGCCTTTAGGGACTTATAAAGATAAAACTTTAATCACTAAGATTCTTAGGATTTTCTTTCAATATAGAAAGGGCTAGAAAATAGTCTATTGTCTTGCAATGAAGAAAAGGAGAATCGGAGCTATAGGATTGTTTTTGCAGGAAAGAAGAAAAATATTAATCCTAATTCAGGAAAAAAAATGTTCCATTAAAAAAAAAATTGTATGTATCTTTTCGTTAGGCAAGCTACAGTCAGACAGATGATGAAAGTTATGTGAAAACAGAGGACGATGAGAGCTACATCCAGACAGAGGAAGAAGACGACACCCTGGCAACCAATGTCACTGAAGAATGGAACCAACGTGTAGGGCAGCTCCTGACAAGAAACCCCAACCCCTGACATTGTCTGCCTGCTGAATGTAGCACTGCTAATCTTTGTTCTAAGAATCGTAGTTTGTAGGTGTGTGTTTTGAGACAAAAAAAAAAGACTTTTGTTTAAAGTTAACTTAATCAGCTGCATCTTCTGTCACATGGCTCATCCCTGATGACGAACCCAGGCTAAAAAATAGCGCTGCTGTTACAGCAATGGCAGTATTAACAAAACATTTTAAACCTTTGCACATGATGTTGAACCTGTTCAGTTTACAATGATGATATTAATACTGTTTAAAGCTAGGAGTTTGATTTCTGAATACTTTGAGATTTTAGTAGAACAATTTACTATATACTGTACATTTTTTTTCCACAAGCAATTGTAAAAAGCAACCTCTTGGAGTTATTCATTAGCCGTAAAGGATTCTGTTCCTGGCTGCAGCACCTGCTTGGAATCCAGAAGCCAAGAAGTCTGTAACTTGATTGCAAGTCTCTGTTGGGAAAAAAAAAGAAAAGAAAAAAAAGTGACCTGTACCAAATGCAGCAGCATAGCCCTATTCTCTAGGCTAATGTGTAACTTGGGGTTGTTTTCTTTCAAGATACTCTAATAAATCAGCCATAGAATTTAGTGTAAATATTTTTTCCAAATAGATATCATATACAAAAAAAGGCAACATTCGAATTATATAGAATCTAGTTTTTAAATCAGCACAGATCTTCTTAAAACTGTGAACTATGTTTTGAAATACTCGTTACTAAAGCTGTTTATAAACCACAGGTGCCATAAGATTCCCCAAACCAACTAAAGTCCCCTGTGCTCTTCCATGCTCTCATTTCGTTGTTGTTTGGGCTTTCAGAAGCATGTCTTCAACACCTCTCCCTGCTCAGTCTCATCTGTTCCCTTTCAGGTTGTTTGGAGGCCTTCAGCTTTAAATGTACAGGCTTAAAGTGCGCTTGTTAGTAATGCCTCTCCTTTTCCTTTTCTTTTTTTCTGAATGATTGTTGGGGGGGGTTGGGGGTTGTTTTGTTTTTTGTGGTTTTTTTTTCCTTGGTAGGCCACCAGGTATGCTCAATACAGGCTATGGCAATGCGAAAGGAGACTGGCCCATTCAGAGGGCAACAGAAGGGGAATTTAGGATGCAGTGGGGATTGTGAGAAGGAGAAGGAAAGAAGCTGGGGTCAGCTCTTTGTGGCACTCCATTGGGTAGATGGAAGGGAGAAATGTTCTTTGGGTCTTTCAGAGTTATTATTATTTTTTAAATGAACATTTTGGATTTGTTGCCCTAAAAGTAGGAGGCATTCTGGTCATTCCCTTTCTTCCCTGAAACTTTAGAAAAGAAATGATGAAACAGCGTAAGTAAAATTGTCTTTTGGGAGAATCAATTTGGAGACATCTTAAGAATGCTGAAAAGATTTCTCAGTTCCTCACTTGCTCTTGGATTACTGAGGCCCAGGTTCAGTGACTATATGTTGCATCTTAGGCTCCCAGAGCCTTGGGCCCTGCCCACGTATGACCACAGGGAAAGGCTGTCCAACAGAGAGCACATGTCTGGTCAGATGTTTTTTCAGCTCAGTTTCCAGAGGGCTAGAAGACATTCATCCCTGTGCAATTGGTCTGAAGTAGCCTGCCTCAGGGTTATCCTTTTGTAATTAAAAAGAAATCAGAAGCCACGCTTGTCTGAAGTTGTTCACAGGGAACCCTGTGCTAGGGTGAGCATAGACCAAATATCACCGGCACCCCAGTCAGCATTGGAACAGTGCTTGAGTTTCTTCCTCATTGGGTGTGTTCTTCTTTTCTTTTCCCCTCCACAAATCATTTTTATGACCCTTAGAATATCAGATCTTTGAGAGGAGGGATTATTATTCTTGGTCTTGATAGCCCCACAGCACAGTGCCTGGCACATAGTAGGCACTTAATAAATGCTTGCTGTTCGGGCGGCATCTGCCAGCCTCCCCTAAAGGCAGGCCATACCCAGTGACAGCATAGCCCTCCCTGCCCCCGCCAGCCAGGAAGAGCGACCACTGGTGCCTCACGCTGAAGCCGAAATCACTCTCAGCTTTGAGCTGCAGCCAAGTAGTTTCTGAATACAGAGTCCCACACGGCCAATCTTGCATATCCCTAGGGACCTTCAGCAGCTGACAGAGCTGCCAAGACATGTCATCATTTTTTTTTTCCACATTGAAAAGCTAGTTTACAGTTTAAGGCATTATAAGAACATACCATCAGGCTCTCCCTTGGGCAGAGGAATTGGGGTACACCACCCTTCATCAGGCAGATGCGATAGAATCAAGGCACTGCAATGCCTTCCTTGGGGGTCATTTTCAGTGATCTATTTCAGACTAGCCAGCCACCTGACATTTCTCTCAGCTCCATATCAGTGCAGATCGTACCGAGGCACCCAAATCCTACAGTTGAAAAGAGGTGGCCATTTTTGTTTTGTTTTGTTTTCTGGCACTCCAGGTTTACATTTTTAAGTATTTTCTTAATGCAAAGCCCAGCAGGTCTTCGTCTGTCCATTTGACACAATTATATCTTGTGGCTGGTTGTCTCTTGTGCATTCGACAAAGAATTACACATTCATGGCCCATAGCAATGATAGCATTTTAGTGCACAGTGAATACACATGGCCAAACCCCCAAGACATGGCACTTAGGTCACGAGAGGAATAGGCTGATCAGGATCCAGAGTACTGTCGCAGTTGGTCAGGGTGGGGGTTGGAGGAAACTGGTGCAGATGGTCCGAAGGGATGTTCAAAGAGAAAGGTGAAGAGGAGTCTTTTGAATGATCTCCCGCAAGGCGGTGAAGGTTCATCTGTAAGTAGCCTGTGAACTGAATGGCATTGAAGGAGTGTGGCCTTTGTTGTGATATGTATTTTCTTATATGCATGAGCCAAACTGTTGCATCTTAATTTAGCACAAGTGTCTGCCTTTATTTTGATCATCTTTATCCACCCCTTGTGAGTTCTTGGCTGTTAACTGTAGATAGATCTTGTAAATAATGCAACCTCAGGTTGCTAGGATCACCTTGGTTCAATTCAGCGCAAGGAGCCACAAACAGCAACTCCACTGTGTCCTCAGCAGAAAGGGCATTTTTACTTTTGAACCAAAAAATAAATTATACATAAATATAAATATACATATATATATATATACATATACATATATATACATATATATGTATATATAAAGAGTTACATCTTGAGGCTACTTACTGTAAGACTTTTTAATTATGACTACTGTAATTTGACGCCATTTGAAACAAAGGATACAGAGACACTAAAGATTTCACGATATTCATTGGTATTGTAACAAAACTACTATTGTATGGATTTTTTTGTATTGCTGTTAAGTATTGTTTTGTGTGTGTGTTGGAACCTACTGGGGACATGTTATATTTTGAAGTGATTAAACTATTTAATTGTGTGTCTATATTTTGGAATGGAATTATTTCTTCATTAAAAAAAGGTTTTTAAAAATACTACCTTGTGTGGTCTTTTTCTTCATTTGCCTTGATGGATTTTTTTTCCCCTAAAGTCACTATAAAGTTAGTCTAAATATAAAGGGAAGGGATGTCCTAATGGTTAGAGCCCAGAATCCAAGATCATAGATCTAGAGTTAAAAGGGACCTTAAGAGGCATACAGTACAATTCTCTCATTTTGAAGATGAAGAAACGATCCCAGGGAGCTTTGAGATACCTAAGATAACACAGGTAGTGAGCATCAGAGTGATTTGAACTCAGGGCCTCTAACTCGAGACTTTGGTGGCCTAAATTCCATTATTTAATAGTAAATGTGGACAAGCTACCTTTCTCTTTTGCTACCTCAGAGATCTCCAACTTTTGGGGTTGAAAAGATGCTTTACTTATCTCAAGTCTCATGGTCAACAAGAGGTCAAGAGAATGCTGGAGAAAAGGGACATGGTATATGGGGAGTGACGGAAATTGAGTGGAGAGAAAGGAAAGTTCTGACAATGAAATACTACTGGTAAAAAATGAAGGGGAAAGGTGATTACAGACTGATCAGCATGATTCTTTTTTTTTTCAGAATTATTCATTTTTAACATTCTTTTTTTTAAATTTTGAGTTCCAAGTTCTCTCCCTGTCTATAGCCCCTCCCCCACCCTTTGAGAAGACAAGCAATATGATAGCAGTTAATCATGTGAAATCACGCAAAATATATTTCCATATTAGCCATGTTGCAAAAAAAAAAATTTTAAAGCAAGAAAAAAACTGGAAAAAATATACTTCAATTTGCGCTCAGTTCATCAGTTTTGTCTCTGGAGGTGGATACCACTTTTCACCATGAATCCTTCAGAATTGTCTTGGATCATTGTCTAATCAGTATAGCTAAGTCTTTCACAGTTGATCATTATTACGATATTGCTATTTCTATGCATAATGTTCTCTTGATTCTGCTCACTTAATTTTGCATTAATTCACACAGGTCTTCCCAGGTTTTTCTGAAACCATCCTCTCATCATTTTTAATAACACAATAGCATTCCATCACAATCATATACTGTAACTTATTCAACCATTCCCTAATGGATAGGCATCCCTTCAATTTCCAGAAAGGAGCTGCCTCAGAAAGGACCTACTATAAATATTTTTGTATATAAAGGTCATTTTCCTTTGAAATCATGATTATTTTCAATCCTTGTAGTTCACAGCTATGCTTCTTTCCTAACATAAATGCCTTCAAGATGAGGTGAGGGAACATAGTAGCAACCTCTGACCATAACTGCTACCTCTATCCCATGGACAGTTGGCCCAGGGATACTTCAAGCTCATATTTCAAATTACCATAGGCCACAAGGGAGATGGGGCTGTCCTCAGGCTGCAGCCTCATGACTAGTCTGTTGGAAACCCCAGTTCTACCTCATTATTAGAACCCTCAGAATCCCCGGGGGCCTTTTAATACTGTTCGGAGGGGATGGGGTGCAATTTGTCCAAAACAAAGTTAATCATGACTAATAGCTTAGCAGGGCTGAGTCATGGGCCAAGAATAGGCAAGATGAGCTAGACTTGGGGAAGTCAAGAAAGGGAGTCCAGAGAGATCCACAGGATCAGGCAGGAATATGAACTCAAAGTCAGATGTTGGCTGCTCAAGGAATGTTAGTCTGAAGGAAGGTTCAGAATAAAGAGCTCAGTCTACTGAAAGGAAAGACAGGGTGCAAGACCATGAATCAAAGATGCAATACAAAGCCATGATCTGTCCAACTACAGGCTAATAAAAAGGCAGTTCCATTGGCAGAAGTACAAGAAGGCAGATGAATGGCACCAAGAAGTTCTGGCAGCAGATAACATGATCTGCTCACAGAAAGAATGAGGTTCAGGGTCAGGTCGTCTAGGACCTTCAGGGTACTTGGTTATCAAGACAAGGACTTCACTATAAGGGAAAAAGAGAGAAACCTAGTTACTTGGGTGCTAGGGTCAAAGCAGGCCTGTCAGTAAAATTGGTAAAGCTGATTCAAGAAGAAATAAGAAAGAGTCCTAGGGCTATACATTTGTTCCACCTAGGCACAGGACAGACCTAAGAGTCTAGAGCAAGCTGAAATTACAGTGTAGCATTAAAGCCCTAGCTCAAAATATTAGTGGACTGTAGAAGGAGGGAGCTAGGCAGACACTGTACCCTGATTGCACCAATCAGGGATTTTCCAGTAGTGTTTATTCAAGGAACAGGACTTTGGGGGCAGAGCAATAACCTAAAAATTTCAGAGCCATATTGTATCACAAAATGTCACACTGAGGCAGGTGTGAGGCAGGAAAGAGCTCACTGAAGTGTAACCACCAGGAATGAGGGAAAAGAGGAAGCTTCTAGAGCTTCCTATTTTAACTAATTATTTTTGTTCACTAGGTGCTAAGCTCAGTTATGTCTATTTGTGGAAGGAATGCACATTCTAAACTTCAGCATCCTGGCACAAAGCACCAGTCATTCCATTCCATTCCATTCATTCATACCATTCTGCTAGGGAGTATCTCTGTCTTTATCATCTTTTTATTGTCATCCTTTCCACCATTTGAATTCCATCCATTGTATATCACCCCTACTGTACCCTGAATTCTCCATTAAGAACAGCAGGGCCTAAAACTCAGCCCAAGGCTAAGCTCCAGAAGATTCCCCAAAGCCTAAATCAGCATCAACAAACGTAGATACTTGGACCCCAGATCCGAGGTATAGTGAACCAGGGATTTCTCTCACGGAGCCAAACCCTACTGAGAGTCAAGAGTGCACTGGTGCTAAAGGAAGCTTCTTCTTATTGGTTTCCAGTCTAGACATAGTTTACTAGTCTTGCTTCCCACACACTTGTTTTATTAGCTCTGATAGAGACACAGCAGAGTTAACGGAAGTTTCCATGGTATTCTTATCCTTGGATACTGGTAGTGTGTTTCTCAGTTCTCACAGATGTCTTCTTTGAATTCTGAAGCTGATTAGGAGATTGAGGTAGTAGGTAGGCCTATGGCTAAGGGTTAATCTTTTTATAGCCACCAAAACACGAAGGAAAGTTCTTTCATGGAACTATTGGCTACATCAAAGCATCCCCAAAGTTCCTTTTCCTACTTTTATCTAAACCTGCCTTTGTAGGTTTAGTTGGGGGGGGGGCGGTTCTCAACAGGTGGGCTAATTATTCAGGAAGGATCAGCGCCAAGAAGGGCTAACTCATGGTTGATGACTTTGATCCACCCATGTCTAACCATTCCCTCAGCTCAGGGTACCCCCTCATCATCCCTCACTTTTCAGGGAAGTATGACTTTTTAATAGGCTTATTTCCTCCACATCAGTAGGGTTTATGACATAAACTCCCTCAGGACTTTGTCCTTGATCAGGAGTAGGTAGGGCAACTTTTTCCTCTTTTCATTTGCCTATCCTCTGTGGAGCAAATGACATTTACCAGGACCTGCCTGATGCACCTGAGTCAGAAAGGACTCAGCAACCAATTTACCAATGGGGATTGTGAAAGTGGGAGGGAGAGGAGCAGATACTAGGAATAGTATGAACTTAGCAAATGAAATCTCTTTTGCGGTAATACTGTCTATGACATGACTAGATATGGTTTCTATCATTGGTTTCTAACACTTTAGAAGTCCAAGTTGCAGATCTGAGCTGCAAAAGAGTGGAGTGGATAGAGGGCTGGCCCTGGGATCTGGAAGCTCTGAGTGTGAGTCCTGACATTGGCACATACTGAGCCACATACCTCTCACTACCACAGGAGACTCTTTAAGACCAGAAGGGATGCTTTTTTGTAGTTGTAGTTTCTATGCCAATTAAATCACAGACCCGGTACAAATGTTTTTGTACTCCAAATGTTTTTTAACAATCTGAGTATATGGCACTTCATGGACTGCAGGGAATCACTAAGGACATTAACATTGAGCAGAGGGGTATGATATACACTCTGATGCTTCTCTTTATGTATTTGAGGCCCAATGCATTCACCAGTCTCAGTGGGGTTTGGCCTCATGGAAGAAGATTCCTGCTTCACCACAACTGGATCTGGGGCCTGATAGCAAGATTTATTAATGCTGTATCAGGCTTTGGGGCATCCTCCGGAGCCCCGGCTTAGGCTGAGGTTCACGGCTCCTCAGGGAGGATTCTGGAGAAGCTACCACGTATTTCTAAGGAAGGTTTGGAGGACCTCATAGAGAATACTCCAGACTTTATGGTGTGAACATCCTCAAAAACTCTGGCTCAGAGCTGAGGTCAGGAATGATGACCCCAGACTTGGGGATAGATTTTGAAAGCATGAAGAAGCTCACTCCAGAGGCCCTGGAGAAGGTACTAGGACGTGCATTGGAATTTGGGCAGTTCTGAAACCACAACTAGTTTTTACAAGATGGACAGAGGGAGTACTAGGCATTCCTGATTCTGTCTAGGTAGCCTTTTCTTCCATTTTTAAAAATTAATTTATTTTGATTTATCAACAATCACTTCCATAAGCTTTTGAGTTTTACATTTTTCTCCCTCTCCCTCCCTGTTTCCCTTCCCAAGACGGCATGCAGTCTGATATAAGCTATACATATACATACCTATTAAACATATTTTCACATTAGTGATGTTGTAAGCACCAGGTAGTTTTAAATGATAGCTCCACTAAGCTCTCAGAATAAAGCTGTCTCCTCAGAAGCTACTGCATGGCAAACTACAACTTTGTATTACCAAAAAGCTTCAACTCTACATTACTGGGAACACTTGGCCCTCTGCCACAAAGTAATTCATAACACCTGCTCTCAAAGAGAGAGCCACTTCCAGTTGTCCTTGGCAGGCCTTGAACATCTCTAAGCTGTTTCCTTTCCTAACCTCTTTTCTATAAGGATCATAGATTTAGAGCTACAAGGGGCCTGAGAGGCCAACCTCCTTGTTTTACAAATTAGGAACCTGAGGCCAAGAGACATTTCAATGACTTGCCCATGTTAGAATAGCTATGATGTATCAGAGGTAGGACCTAAACCCAAGTCTTCTTAATGCCAAGCCTAGCTTT